ACATAAATGAGAGGAAAAATATCRAAACTTGTTCATAAGGAAATTGGGAATAGAGCAAACCAAAGCTGGTGACAGGCAGGGAAAAGCAGTTTCAGCTGGTGTCAGCTGGATCCATCCCTGGTATTGTGAGCCCTGCTTGCCCAGGAAAGATTAAGCATCTCTAAAGAAGCTTAGGTAGCTTAATTAATAGTTCACCAGCCTAATTAATGAAGATCCAGGACAGACATAAAGACAGTCTAAGATTTCTGCTTCCTCATCGCTGTTCCGGTGCTGGCACACGACAGATGCAGACTGATGGGGGTCAGTGTCCCAGAAAAAGTGACAAAAGCTGGGCAGAGCCTTTCGGGGCAGCTGCTGGAGCGTTTGGATGAGAAGCAGCTCCAGTTGTGGGCTGGTGAATCCCTTTACGGCTCAGCAACACCGCCGACACACCCGAAATAGCCCCATCAAAGCTGCTCAGGGGAAACAACGGCACCAAAGACCCAGTCCCTGCGGGAAAAAAAAAAAATAAAAAAAAAAAAAACCCTGGTGTTTGCTAAAGAACCAGCCAGGGAAGGCAATGACTCGTACAGAGGACTTTGGCTGCTCCAAGAGGAAGCTGGGCTGGAATAGCATGGAAACAGCCGTGCCTCCTGTGCCTACTCATAAATGTGAGCTGGGATTGAGTCACCAGAACCTTTCTCTGAAGGGAATTTTGGGATTTGGGTGCTTTTGATAAACTGGAAAGCCAGTGGACAGTGGGAGCGGTGCCCTCTCATGTGGCAGCTGCTCCTGGTGAACAGCTGAAATAATTCCACAATAATTCCACCATCTCCCTGCTCTGGCATGGAAGTTGCTCCATGCAGGATCTCAGCACAGCCAGTGTTCCCTCAGCACACAGGGTCAGCTGTTTCACACAAATCAGAAATTCTGTGTTACTCCCAATCCATGCCCAGTTAAAACCAGAGCTCAGGGAGGGGGAGACTCAGACTCCTTTGGTCGGTAGTGGAGACATTCTTATTTATTTCGCTCCAGTTTTCCTCTCAAAAGTGCAGAAAATCCAAGGAAATCCTGCAGGAATGGCAAAAGTAAGGGCTTTCACAGCTTCACTGGGAATTTTTGGCCTCAAGTCCRGCAATTTGCTGATGGATTTAGATGRATGTCCCTGGGGACGTGTATCTGATTCCAGCCACGCTTTGTACTTTCCTCAAGGGAARCCTCTGCCTGCCTTGGCTTCCTCTGCTCTCGAGATATTAAAGCACCGATTTCCAAACAGAAAATCCAGGAAGCCAATTCAATGGCTGGGAGATTTTATCAGCTCCTGTTATAAAGGAGCCTTGAATGGAGCAGCAGCTGCTCCCATCCAGTTCCAGGGGCTCCCKGCATAAGCAGGGACTGAGGGGCCTCTGCTGGACTGTGAGCACAGCWGATAAAAACCAAGAATTCCCAACTTCTTTTTCAAAGCGAGCCTTGGTTATGGACATCTCTCTGTCCCTCAAATTTGGATTTGCTTTTGGAGATGAATGACTCTGGCTGTCACCAGAGCCTGGAGGGCACATTTGGGGTGGATTTCTCCCTATTTTTTCAGTGTGGAAGAGGAAAACTGCAGGTAGAGCCTGGAGACTAAGTGTTGTCCTGACTCATTCAGTGAAGTTTTCCTGCTTGAAGCTGCTTCCAGTGACACGATGAGAGGAAATGGCCTCAGGATTTGCCAGGGGAGGTTTAGAATGGATATCGAGGACATTTTTTTCTGGGAGCCCTGGCCGTGCTGAACTTCTCTGGTGTTCCCAGGTATCACTGCCATGATTCTGTGCTTTTTGGCAGTGCTCCACCAAATTCCCACTGTGGTGCACCCCACCAGCATGGCTTGATTTCRCACTCCTGGAAGTGTCCAGGGCCAGGCTGGAYRGGGCTTGGAGCARCCTGGGATAGTGGAAGATATCCCTGGCCGTGGCAGGGGTGGAATGAGATGGATTTTAAGATCTCTTCCAACCCAAACCATTCCATAGTTCTGTGAAAGCGTCCCCATCGGCTCTCTCTGTGTGCAGRGCTTATCTTGATCCTCATCTTTCCATACAGCCAGAGTCAGAACTCTCCAACACCAGCAGTTCCAACCCTTGCAATGCTTTTTTGGTTGATTTAGTTCCTGTGCTGTCAGCATGTCCTCCCACCTAATCTGTGGCATTAATTCCTTCCTTGCTACTGGCTTCAGAAAGCATTAACAAGGGAAAAATAAATCAAGTGTTAGAGCACAAAGAAGAGTTGTGGGAAAAAGCTTTTGAGCCTTTTCTGAGGCTTTCATGCCTGTTATTCTTTACTTTGCTGATACAGCTGGATTTACCATCCTGTTGAATGAGCATATTCCAGACTATAAAAAAACAACAAAGTCAAACCACGTGRGCTTTGTATAGGTCAGAGCTGGAGAGGGGCTGCCAGAGACAACAGCCCAGGAYGAGTGCAGAGCACGAAATGTGCAAGCACAGCCAAAGTGCCGATTCTGTTCCTCCAAACAAAGCTGGGACCCAACCTGAGGCAGAGCAGAGAGGGGTGTGGGACAGCAGGGTGTGGGAGCTSTGTGTGTGTGCCCCAGATGTCTGCCAGATGTGTGCAGATGTGGGTGGGACTGGGGGAATCCAGGGTGATGAGAAACACCTAGAAAGAGCTCACCTAAATCAGTGTTGGAGTTTGAAATGGATGTTTTAAGGGCATGTTGGTGCTCTTGGGTCTTTAGGATCGTCTTTTTGGGAAGATTCATCCCTTCAATCACCATCGAGGCTCCAGCGATTCCTTGCTGTGTTTATCCCTGAGGAATTGCTGTGTTTATCCCTGAGGAATTCCTGCCCTGTTTCAGGCTTGTGTTGTGCTTTGCATTTTCAAAGTGCAGCACAAAGCTTTGGTTGTCCCCCATTCTCACATCCCCCATGAGAAACCAGACCATGGAGTTCAAGAGATCAGGGAACTCACACCAGACACGTCCTGCCCCGCGTGGGAGCCAGCTCTGAATGACCCCGGACTTCCAAAACCACACCAGGAACGTGGAAAATAAAGGGTTGAGAATGTGATTTGAGCCTGGAGAATCTCTGAACCTATGGAAACAACCATGAGTGATGAAACACTGAAAAGGGRCAACTGGAGCTGGGTGTGCAGGAGGTGAAAAACTCCTTCCTCCCTCAGCAGGTGAAGACTTTGAGGGTTAGTTTCCTAAAAATGCAGCTTTTTAATTCCAAGCCGCCCTAAAAAGTGTTGGAAGATCTGGGCTCAGAGGAACTGTTGACCTGTAGACAGGAGGGGCTGTGTTTTCACACAGTGTCTGTCTGAGCTTGAAGCCCAAGGAGCAGCAGGGGAACATCCGGGGCCGTTTGTAGGGYCAGGGAACTCAGCAGAGCTCCCACATGTGGGAATTGTGATTGTCCCATTCACCAGAGATGTTTTCCCCCAGAATTTCTGCTCCTTTTCCTGCACACAAACACAGCCACGCTGCAGCCTGAGCTGGAATCACAGTGTTTGTGGAACAAACAGAAAAACAAAGCACTGCTCACAGMGTGCACTGTCTGCAACMTCAAAATAACTTTCCCAGCTCTTCYCTCCACCMTCCAGGGCCGTGTTTGCCTGATCYCAGGTTCAAGAGTGGGTGGATATTCAAAGAGAAAAATCCATCCTGCAGTTCCATGCTGGATGTTTGGGATAACTCAGCGGGTGTTGGGCTGTGCCTTAATGGAGACCCTCAGTGGTTTGGGGTGATGAAGACCACCCTGCTTCCAGGAAATGTGAGATTTTGCAGGAATTCAGTGAAAAATGTAATGATTTTATTGCTTCTGCCCCGCAAGAAACAATTGTGGTGGCAATTTTTGATGYGCAGTGGAATGAAGCCCACAGCTAAAAAATGTATTTCAACGCCTATTTAATTTACAGCCTTAGGTGTTCAAAGTAGGTGTTTTCCCAGGAATTTTTCCCTGGGCTTGGCATCTGCGTGAAATACCATGTAAAAAAATAAACCATCATTATTCCTTCCCCATCACTGAAGGGAAAAGCAGCTGCCTGGCATCACCTCACAGTGTCTGTACTGACTTTGGCTCTCCAAAAACTCAGGGCTTGGAGAGTGGCCTGGATAAACCCCATTGCCCAAAGTCTGCAGCTGGAAATAAAAACACTTGCCCAGCGCCCCAGTCCCCGGGGAGTTCTGCTGGTGGTTTATTTTTATTTTATTTCTGCACAGGGCCTCCCCCAGGCCTGGCTCGTGTCTCAGGTGACAGAATCACAGAATCCCAGGATTACTGAGGTGGGAAAAGAGCTCTGGGATTATTGAGCTGTACTTGATCCCCACCAGCCCAGAGTGGGGATCACGTCCAGGCTTTTCTTAGGATGGGGATGGGGAATCCAAACCTTCCTGGGCAGCCCCCACCAATGTTTAACAACCCTTTCTGTGAAGAAATTCCTCCTTATCATAGAATCATGGAATATTTTGGCTCGGAAGGGTCCTCTGGAGCAGGTGACRTGTGTTTAGGCAGGTTAGAATGTCTCTGGAGAGGGAGATTCATAACCTCCCTGGGCAGCTGTTCCARGGCTCTGCYCCYCTCACGCTGAGGTGGAATTTGTTGTGGTTTARTTTGTGSCYATCGCTGCTCGGCCTGGCACTGGGCATCACCGAACAGAGCCCGGCACCGTGCCCTGAGCCTCCCTGGAGCCTGTGCCCCGCCATGGCGTGCCCTCGCCTCCCCTGAGGGGGGGCCATTTTGTGTGAGGGGAGGTGAGGGGAGGGGGCCATTTTGTGGGCTCCMCGTTCCGCTCGGGGCGGGGATCAACCCCAACGCGGCCGATCTGTGCCAGGGCTGTGCGGACCGGTGTGCGGGGCTCCATTACCCCCGTCCCCGGCCCTGCGGAGCTCCCCACACCGGCGTGAGGCGGCGGCAGCCATCCCGCAGCCGTGAGTCCGCCAAGCCGGCAGGGGGCGCTGCTGTCGGGAACAGAGAGCGGCCGGGGCGGAGCGGCCCCGTCTCGACCCCATCGCGGGGTCTTCCGGGGTATCCTGGCCCCATCTCTCTATGATCCCAGTGATCCCGGGGTATCCCGGCCCCGTTCCGCTGGAATCCCGGTGTTATCCCGGGAAATCCCGGTGTTATCCCGGCCCCAGCCCCGTCCCGCTGGAATCCCGGCGTGATCCCGGCCTAAGCCCCGTCCCGCTGGAATCCCGGTTTGATCCCGGGCCTATCCCGGTATTATCCCGGGCCTATCCCGGTGTGATCCCGGGTCTATCCCGGTGTGATCCCGGGCCTATCCCGGTGCGATCCCGGGTCTATCCCGCTGTGATCCCGGGCCTATCCCGGTTTGATCCCGGGCCTATCCCGGTGTGATCCCGGGCCTATCCCGGTGTGATCCCGGCCTATCCCGGTGTGATCCCGGCCCTATCCCGGTGTGATCCCGGGCCTATCCCGGCCCCACCGCCATGGGGAAGAAGGGGAAGCGCGACAAGAAGGGGAAAGGCGCCGAGAAGACGGCGGCGAAGATGGAGAAGAAGGTGTCCCGCCGAGCCAAGAAGGAGGAGGTGACGGGCGTGGGGCTGCAGGGGGAAGGTGCAGGAGAGGGTTGGGAGAAAAGGAAAGAATCCAGGAGGAACCGGGGCTGTCCGGGAAAAGTGARGATATCCTGAGTTGGAACGGACCCACGTGGATCAGCCGCTCCAAATCCCGGCCCTGCGCAGACACAGCAATARTCCATCCCACCAYGTGCTTGAGATCMTTGTMCAAACCTCCTGGAAWTCGGAATTCCAGGGATGCCCCATCYCTGGGAMTGTTCCAGGMCAGGTYGGACRGGGCTTGGAGCATCGTGGGACAGTGGAAAGTGTCCCTGCCCATGGCACTGGGACTGGATGAGCTTTAAAATCCCTGATTCTCTGAGTCTAAACAGAACCAGTAACTTGGTTAAATCCCACTGTGTGTGACAGCTTTAAAATCCCTGATTCTCTGATTCCAAGCAAAACCAGTAACTTGGTTAAATCCCACTGTGTGTGACAGCTTTAAAATCTCTGATTCTCTGATTCCAAGCAAAACCAGTAACTTGGTTAAATCCCACTGTGTGTGACAGCTTTAAAATCCCTGATTCTCTGATTCCAAGCAAAACCAGTAACTTGGTTAAATCCCAATGTGTATAACAGCAGGTGTGAAATATGAGCAGGAAAATGCAGTTAAAGGGTCCTTCTTGCTTTCCATCCCCCTTATATTTTTCTTCTGGTCTTAAAATCAAAAGGAAATCTTTATTTCTCTCGCTCCTAGAGGGGATGCTTGTATTTCAGCTCCAAACTGTGACTTTTCCCTGCTCAAAACGTKGTGTTAAAGGCCTTATTCAAAGGGTTTCATGTGTGTCTCTATGCATGCCAAGCAGCTCATATCTGTCTTTTTATTTCCAGGAGGATCTTGAAGCCCTGATWGCAGAATTCCAGAGTCTGGATGCTAAAAAGACCCAAGTGATTGAATCATCCTGTCCTCCCCCCTCACCCAGGTAAGGCTGCCACTTGTAGAGCACTTGGGGGTGCTTTAAATGCCATTTATTTATTTATGTAAAATTATTTCCCAAGAGTGGAAGGTTTAGCTGATACCTGGAGTTATGAAACGCCTGGAATACTGAATTTCTGGTTAAAAAAAGGGACCAACAGCTTTTTTTTGCATCAAAATCCACTTTTTGTCCATCTCCTCAGCACAAAAGAGGCAAAGCAGGGTTAAATTTCAGGGCTTTGAGGGGAAATAAAAGTGAAGAGGAAGTTTTGGATTTTACCTAGAGGGCTGAAGGGAATTCAGAGGCAAARGRATGTGCCATGAGGTAAAAATYACTGTATTAAATGGGGTTCACATACTTGGGGTGCTTCAGGAGAGCAGTGCCCAGCAGCAAGTGCAGAATAATGACACAGATGAATAAAGAGACAGCCCAGAGTTCTGTGCCCTCATAAAAGTCATTTTTGTTCCTGCCACCCCAGCATTAAAATTCAGGAGCTCACGTCAAAGGGGGAGTTAAATCACACAGGAACTGTGCTCCTGAAATAGGAGAGGCTCTCAGACAGTGCCCAATTCATCTTGCTGGAAGTTTTGGAAGAAATTAATTTCTTTGGAGAAGTTTTTAGCCCTGGGGTGAACATCACAGCAAGGTAATTTGGCAGATGATGGAGAGACCTTCGTGGCTGCAGGGCAGAGGTGCTCATGCCTGAGCTAAAGGCTCCAAGGTTCAAGGTTTTAAAAAGTTTCACATCTTTTTTTTCCATTCTTTTTCTCTTTCAGGCTGAACTGCTCCCTCTGTGCTCACCCCGAGAGAGACGAGCTGATCCTTTTTGGAGGTGAATATTTCAATGGCCAAAAAGTAATGTATACTTCCATTTTCTTCTTTATCTCCCCCCTCCCTCCTTTTCCTGTAATTTGCACGAGTCTCATTTGAAGGGAAATTCGAGCCAGAGTCATAAAATATGTATTTGTCCCTGAATGAGAGCAAAATAGCCTTTTAATTCTGCCATGGCTCTGTCTCGTGGCTGAGCAGTTGGCAGGAAGGAGACACTCTGGAACCCATTAARGAGTCAGAGTGATTGTCTCAGCATCAATATTTCAGGCCTTCATAATTTCTCCAGACTTAATTGTAGCCATATCTGCCCCTCATTTGGGATAACGAGTGAAGAACCTCTTCCACTTCTCAAAACATATTTCTGCACCTCTGCTGCAGGCAAGGCATTGGAGATGGGAGCAGCAGCAAATCATTGCACTCAGGAATGCTCTTGTTTAAATTTCTGCAGGTTGCAGGTGCTTGTTGTGCTCCTTTTGCACTCAGGAATGCTCTTGTTTAAATTTCTGCAGGTTGCAGGTGGTTGTTGTGCTCCTTTTGCACTCAGGAATGCTCTTCTTCCTCAATTTCTGCAGGTTGCAGGTGGTTTTTGTGCTCCTTTTGCACTCAGGAACTCTCTTGTTTAAATTTCTGCAGGTTGCAGGTGCTTGTTGTGCTCCTTTTGCACTCAGGAACTCTCTTGTTTAAATTTCTGCAGGTTGCAGGTGTTTGTCGTGCTCCTGGAGACAAACTGGGCTGGAAAAATCCTGGCAGTGATGTTTGGTCACCTCAGGGTTATCCAGGGTGATGTGCTAAACRAATTCTGATTTTTTTAGCACTGGAGCTGTTCTTTGCTTTGGAGTCGAGCAGCTGGAACCTGAACATCTGTGTTAAACTCAGCTTCTTAAATTCTCGTGTCTCAGCTGTCACTGGTGGTTTGGGGATGAACATTTCAGCCCAGTGGGTTACTGGAACAGTTGCTGGTGTTCAGTCCAGTGCAGGAGCTGCTGTCCTCCTTCCCTGCCCACTGGAGAGGTTGTGCTTTGCCATCTTCCCCCAGATTGCCCTGAGCTGAGCTGAGCTGAGCTGAGCTGAGCTGCTGTTTCCTGTCCCTCTCTCACAGACCTACCTGTACAATGACCTGTACATTTACCACATCAGGAAGAACAGCTGGGCCAAGCTGGAGATCCCCAACCCACCCCCGAGGCGCTGTGCTCACCAGGTAAAGCTCRGGCTGCCAGAGCTGCAATTGCTCTGAAGGTGATTGGGAAGAGGGTTTTTTGTTTTTTCTCTTCCTGAGGGTTTCTTGCTTCTCTTTGTTCTCCTTCTGATGGGCTGCCAGTGGTGTCTTCTGTTGAGGGGCCTGTCCAAGCCTGTCTGAGGTGCTCTGATCTCTGGGTGTGCTCTGGAAATGTTCAGTGTGGAATGAAGATTTGGGGTTGTATCAGTCAAACAGGACAAGGGGGGAGATTCTTCTTAGGAAARGAATCATCTTTGCTGCATTATCAGGGACCAGCTCAAATCCAAGATCCCAGGGGGCACTGAATTTTCAGAATTTAATTTGACCATGGTGAATTATCTTCTTTATGGCCACAAACCTACATCCATGAGCATCCCAGGCACTGCCACTGCTGCCAGCAGGGAGCACTTGGGCTCTTCTCCCCCTCTCAGGAAATCCAGGTCACTGGCTGCTTGTGAGGATGAAGGATTTGGGTTTGTTTACTTTATGTGAACACCTGCACAGCAGAAACTGGACCAAAGACTTGTATTTTTTGCAGGTCTTTGGCCCTCACCAGCTGATAGATTTTCTTACCTGCTGCAGCCAATGGGTGACTGGTACCTTGCAAAAGCTGCCCTACGGGATGTGAGTGTCCTTTTCCTGCCCATCCCAAAGCTCTCCAGAGTTCCCTGGTAAGATCCCACTCCCCCATTAGCTTCCTGTTCTCTTTTTGTTAAGTGCCAGGCTTKCTCCAAGCTGTGTATCCTGGAATTGAAAGATTCTGACTCGATTTTTGGGCTCCTTTGCCTTGTTTAAAATAAAGCTTGGATTTCAGAGGCCACGCTCCAGTAGCCAGCAGGTGGCTGTCAAGCAGCTCAGTCCAAAGGGAGCAGCTCAGGAATTGCAGCTGGAAAAAAGAGAGGAGCCCTGCTCCAGCAGTGTTTTGTTTCTGATCATGAATTGTGGTTTCACAGGGGACAGCTCAGCCTCATGAGCTGCCTGCTTTGTTTTCCCTGTGGCTCTGTATTTAATGCATATTCTGTATTGGCTCAGAGTTAACAGAAGTGGGTGCCAGGGCATGYTTTTAGTTTTATTTATTTGTTTGTCATCTCTGGTCTCTGACACACAATCCCCTGTTGGAGGTGAGGTGAGAGGAGCTGTGGGCAGGTGTTGGCAGCTGCTCAAGGAAAAGCTGTGGTTTTGTCAGGGATTTTGAGCCAGCTYTTGGAAAGGTCACCCACAAGTATGAGCAGGTTGTTGAATCAACCTTCCCCTGAAGCTTCCAAGCATTGGATGCCCATGGAATTCAGGTCCCCTTTGTTTGGGTGGCTTCGTGTTCCCAMAAATCCTGCCTGGAAGCACATCCTGGATTTTCTCATTTCATTGTTGCATGTATGGGCTGGTTTATGGCAGGGCACGGTCTAGTGTGGTGCTAAAAACCTTCTTTGCTGTTTTCTGGGAGAGACAGGCAGGGAATGAAGAGCTCTTCTGAGCAAAGAGATCATTATCCCAAAATTGTTCTGTGATGGGTACTCTGGAAAGAGCACAAATTGGAAACTTTTTGGGATTCCTTCCTTCTTCCTTAGTCCTAACACAGATRATTCTAATGGAGTCCTGCTCTCTTTCCTCTTTTAACTGGCAGCTTGCTTCCCAAAGGTCTTTCGGTGCTGCTCTCTGTAAAAAAGATATTAAAAAATCCCTCTCTGCTGTGGGACAATCAAAGCAGGAACAGTATTTCCTCTTATCCAAATGCTGCATGTTTTCTTCTGTGCTTGGGGTTTTTTGGTTTTCTTTTGTTTTTGAGCAGAGAGAGTTGAACAATTTTTGTTAAACCAATCCCAAGATGCTTCCTAGGAAACTTTGAACTTCCTACAGGAGGTGGGAAGAGCCCAGCTCCTTGGCCAGCTCTCCTTTGCTCTGGGGAAGGTGTGCTGAACACCGAGGACCTTTTATTCCAAATTCTCCTTCTGTCAGCCCAGAGAGCTGCAGCTGTTCCCTGGGATTTGGAGCCATGTGCTGACTGGTGAAGTTCTGTGCCTAATGCTGGAATCTTGCTCTGATCCCTCTCTCCCTTCTCCTGCAGGCAGCTGTGGTGCCCACGGCTGGGGGGCAGCTCTGGATCTTTGGGGGCGAGTTTGCCTCTCCCAATGGGGAGCAGTTCTACCACTACAAGGATCTCTGGGTCCTGCATTTGGCCACCAAGACCTGGGAGCAGATCAAGTAAGTGCTGGGCCCTCTTGTCTGSACTGTGGTTTTGCCATGGAAGGTTGGATTGGATGATCCCTGAGATYCCTGGTGTTCAGGGGTTCTTCTGAGGAGCTGTGCCAGTGTGATCCGAGTTTGATTCCTGCTCCAGGGCTGTGATTTCCCTGCTCTCCCTTAAATTCAGTGGTGCCCATCCTCAGAGGGGTGGAGAGGACACATCCAGAGAGAAATGRGAATGAGAGATGTGTTCCAGGTCAGTTGAGGCCAAAGCTGGGTTATTCAATATTTGATTTTTGGGGCGTGGCTGTGCCTGGTGTTGCTTCACTGAAGGGAAGAGTATCCATGAACATCTCTCTATTCCCAGCCCTGGCAGATCCAGATGTCCAACTCCAAAACTGGTGCTGTGTTTTCCTGGGCTCCTCCAGTGGGGGCTGTACAGGACCAGTTCAAGGATCTCCCAGTTTCAATGTGTTTTCAGCCACAGTTTGAACCCAGCACAGTCCTGGTAACTGGCATTCACTGCCTTGAGATTGCTGGGGATAAACAAGGCAGTCATCCAGACCTATCAAAGCAAACAGGTGCCAAAAGTCCCAGTAGTTTCTGACAGCAGKGAAGGTGTAAATATTTTCAATGGATCTGGCCCCAAGTCTTCTGTTGATGTTTCCTTAACCTTTGGCTTTTCCCTTTGGCTGTTCGTGTTTATGTTTGTGTCAGAGGAGTTCTGCTGTGACACCCAGTGGACTGAAAGGTGGGAGATTRGCTTTGGGTCTGAGTTTGGCATTGGCTTTGGGGTTGTTTTGATTGTGGGATTAGTCAGAGAACAGCTTGGGGTGGGCTGGAGCTGCAGATCACACTTGAAGTACGCTGGGAAAAGCAGCAGTATTGGATCACTCAGGAGCTCCTGTTCTTCCTGCAGGTGGGAACACCAGATCTGTCCAGGTTTATCCCATTTTTTATCCTGTTACAGGGTGTGGGGGCTTGTTAGCTGTGTCTGTGTCCTGCACAGTACCTGAGGGTGGTTTGGGGTGAGCTGTGCAGGGATGGATCCCTGGCTGTGCCTTGGCACATTCCCCAGGTCACACAGTGACACTCTGTGCCTGCCTCACCTTTGTCCCTCTCCCTGCCAAACGGGAGCACTGACAGWACCTGACAAGGGGGAGTTTGGAGTCTGCTCTGTGTGAGCTTCCTGCCATGTTTGGGTGGCCCTCTGTCCTTCATCCTGGCATCCCATACCCTGGTCCCAGYRTTGGAATCAGAGCACATCYCCTCCCCATCCTTGKGCTGAGCCCCAGGAGCTGCACTGATGAGGAAGGAGCTGGAGKASCCTGGAAGGGAATGGCTTTGTTCATGAAAATCCAGGATCTGCTGCCCCTTTGCTTTTCCATACAGCACTAGAGCAGGAGTGTGCTTGGAAAGGGAAAGAGCAAAGAGCAGAGATGCTCGTTGACTTCTACAAGGGATTTTCTCCTGCTTTTAAAACTGATCATGCCACCTGCTGCATTTCACTGCCTTCAGCATTTCCCATTTGTTGGATGGTGGTGGGGAACCATCCCTGGTACAAGGAGCCTTCACACAGCCAAGCAATAATTCCATGTGTGAGTGTGGGGCCARTTTACCTCAATAAATGCCAGGTGGCAGATATGGGGCACAGACTGGTGTTGGGTTTAGAAGACATCATTTTAGTGCAAATAAAAGTAACAGAATTAATTATTCATTAAGAGATGTCTGGACAGGAGAGACAAAGTTTCCATTTCTGTTCCCATGGGAAGGATCACAAGTGCCCCGTTCCAGGTGGGTTTCATGTGTTGCTTTGTCCAAGATAATCCTGCTGTGTTCTGAACCTGAAATTCTAGGAAATTTAATCATTCCAGCCCCACAATTCAGATTCCAGACAATGATATTGCCCTTCCTGGCCTACAGTTCCTGCCACAAACCCTTCCTGGTGCCATGAAGGGCTTGACTGTTAAACACTTGGGAAGAGAAAACCTCGAGGAAGTGAAAACTTCCCTGTTCTGGGGAAGTGAAGCTCCATTTGCTCCTAGCACAGAGCACAGCGGTGCCAGGCTGCCTGACAGAGTTAAAAGTTGCTATATTTAGCCAGGTTTAGCTGTGTTTCCTTGCATTTTACATGCACAAAGATGATCCAAACACAGCAAATCCCAGCCCGTTAGAAGCCGTGCCAGCAGCTGACTTTGACTTAGTGCAGCCACCTTATCTGGTGTGTGATGCACGAGGTTCCCTCAGTCCATGAACTGCTTGTTACCCTTCCTTGGAGCAGCAATATTTTAACCTCATTGCCTCATTCCTTTGTGCAGAGAATGTTCCCAACTCAGCTCCCTGTGGCCCAGTGCACTCCTCAGGGAGAGACAGGGAGCATCCTTGGGGTCTTGTGCTTGGCAATTGGCACATCCCTCCCTTCTCTGGAGCTGGGTTTGGAGCCAGCATAGCTCCCTTCACTGAAATTCTGGGATGCTGATGGTASTTTCTGTCAGATTTGGTGGGATGTGTTGCTATAAATGTCCCAGTTTCCCCAGTGTCTGGTTCACTGGAGTAACTGGAGCAGTCCCTGCAGAGCAGGAGAGCCCAGTGCAGGGTTTGTCTCACTTTTGCCTCTCCTTGCTCACCAGAAAAATCAGGTGCTGCCACACCAGGTAGAAGGTGCTGAAAGAAAAAGTTATTTGGGTGTAAATCAGGTAGATTGTCAGCCCAGAAATGAGYTTGTTCTTTGGTAGATTAGGAAAAACAAATGTACAACTGGATTGACTTTGCGAGGAGTTGGAATTGAGGATTTTGTGCCCTGTTCCAGTTGTGTTTTCACTTCTCCCTTTCCTGAGTATCCAAACACGAGGGGATGGGATCTGTGTGTGCCACTGCCCCCAGCACTGGGGCATTTCCAGGGAAAGGTGTCAAACAGCACAAATCCTGAGTTCAGCTGCTTCTGRAGGAGAAAAGAGCTTCGTCCTGGAGTGCCCCTGTGATGGGATGGTCTCTGCAGCATCACTTTTATTATTATTGAACATTCCCAAGCTTCACCTGAGCATCCTCTGGATGAAGTGGTAACTGCTGGAGCCACTGGGACAAGTAATTCATGAATCTGGGGGATGGATTCAGGTCTGGTTTGTTACTACAAGTCCCAGAGTAACTCCACAAGCCAAAGCAAATTCCTTCTGGAGCAGCTCAGAGCATCTTCATGCTGTACATGTGTGGAGCCAGTCCTTAGCTAGACTTTTTCATCTATTTTTAAAAAAAAAGTCTGGAGAATTTACAGCTCCCTCCCACATGTCTGCTTTCTGGTGTCAACCCCATGAAATAGAGCATTAATCATAAAGTCTGGGAAGCCAATTCCTAAATGTTTCTTTGGGACCAGGAGCAATGAAACAGGTGAGGGGGAAGAGTTTGCATTTGGAAAGATTTTTCTTGAGTTGGAATGAGATTCTGCATCTCTGCCAGTCCTGCCTGACTGTGCCATTTGTGACTTGAATTSTACATTTGTGGGAGTTTTATTAAAACACATCAGTGGGTAAACTTTTTATTGTTCAGAATTGATTTTGAGCTTGGAGGAAACCCGTTTCAGAAATAAGGCTGAAGATAYTCTCTGAGAACAGAGTTGTAGTGTTCATGTTGGGTTTTAATTCATTCTCTCCTTAAAAAAATGAAAAGATTATTTTAAAAGTGCCGTCTTTTGGAATAATGACACAAGAGCTTTGTTACAGTGAGTGAAAATAATGATTTGAGATCCTGATGAAATTAATACCAGAGGTGCTGTTGTGCAGGGTGATACTCACAAATCCAGTAAATGCTTGRAAAAACCTCCTCTCTGTTAGAATAAAGAGTCCAAGCAATCAATATTAATTCAGTCTTCCCCAAAGGCTGCTGTTCTGCTGGAGTTTCTCATTATCACTGGGGTGAGGTTGTCATTTTGCAGGGTGAACGAGGGCCCTCATTTTCTCTCTCCCCAGAAATCCATCACCACATTCCCAGCTCCCTGCTGGCTCTCCAACTGGGGCAGGGGGGTTGTGCCTTTTGGTTTTGCTGCTGTTCTCAACTGATTTAGTTAGGCCCTGATTGTGCAATCACTTCCACACTTTGAGGCTGCCTTTTGGGGGAGTCTTGCTGGGCTCAGTGGTGCCAGCCAGGCACTTTGGGAGACTCCTGAGTGAGGGAAAACAGGATGGATGCATCCATGGGGGCAGAGAACACACACAGCAAACCCTGTTTGCCCTCTGCTTTGGTTGAAGTGGGCTTTGTTTGAAATTCCTTGAGGTTTTTGTTGTTTGCTTCTTCCATGATGCTGTGGGTGAAGATGAAGGATGGTGAATCTGTGTTGGAATGGGGTGTCCAGCTCCTCGGGAGCCTTTTGGATGTGCCAGATGGGGTTTGGGTGCTTGCTTCTGGAAATGGAAGCAGCACATTTAACTGAAAGGTCAGGAAAGCTTGGAAGAGCAGAACGGGGATGTGGAGCTGCTTTTGAGCGTGTAGGATCATCGAGTGAGTCACGGAATCATGGGATGGTTGGGGTGGGAAGGGGCCTTAAAGCTCATCCCATTCTGCCCCTCCATGGGCAGGGACACTTTCCACCATCCCAGGGTGCTCCAAACCCCATCCAGCCTGACTTTGGGCACTTCCAGGGATCCAGGGGCAGCCACAGCTTCTCTGGGCACCCTTCAGGACCTCCCCACCCTCCCAGGGAACAATTCCTTCCCAACATCCCATCCAACATTCCCTCCTTCAGCAGGATAATGATGATAACCATGTCTTGTTTTGCTGCAATGCCTTTGTTCTTGAGGAAACCTGAGTAATCCAGAGAGTGTTTTCCCTGGTTTGGTGTCATACCCAGACTGCAGGAGGTGAGTGAAGGTGTTGTAGGTACATGATTTCCTGAGACACTCAAGGAGGGGGGTGTCAGAGCCAGCCTTTGTCTCGTGGTGCTTGGAGAAAACATCTCTGTTGGGAATGTCTCCCCTGCAATTGTGCCAGTTAAGTGCTGTTCATTAAACTCTCCTGAAAAATTAGCTCCTGAGTCATCACTGAAAAGATTTCAAGAGTTTGGGTGCTGTTAGGATGGTTTATCTCTAGGAATAAAATTGCCTGTGCTGCAATCCCAAGAGCTGCAGGAAGAGCACACGTCCTGTTCTGGAGAAAAGCAGCCRTGGATTGAGGCAGCCACGTTCCCCAAGGTTCCCATTTCCAGGAGAAGCTGAGCTCAGCCAGCTCAGCTGCAAGTGACTTCAATAAAAAAGGGCCTGATGCACTACAAGAAAGAGGATTTTGCTGATAAATTGAATTTCTTTGTGTTCCAGGGCACCAGGAGGTCCCTCTGGACGAAGCGGACATCGAATGGTTGCGTGCAAAAGGCAGCTGATCATCTTTGGAGGTTTCCATGAGAGTGCAAGGTGGGTTGCTGGGGTGGCTGGGGGTTTGAATCCTCCTTCAAAAAAGGAACAAAATGTCACCAGGAACAGAAATCTGGGTGTTTGTGGGAGGGTTATCCTCAGAAGGATTGGTATTGAGTGGACTTTCATGTAAGAAAGATGAGGGATCTTGATTTAAAGTCTTCAGGTGTTGGTGGCATTGAAGAAAAAAGCTCCAAAACAGCGTTTTTGGCCTCTGAATCTTGTCAGATCGTTGTCTCACAGAAACATCTCCTCCAGGGGGTGTGATGTGCTGTCAGGGCTGGGAGCAGAGCTCTCAGTGCCCTTTGTGCTGTCACCAAACGYGCTGTGTGCTCTCCCTAGGGATTACATCTACTACAACGATGTGTACACCTTCAACCTGGACTGTTTCACCTGGAGCAGGCTGGCTCCTGCAGGCATTGGGCCWGCCCCCAGATCTGGCTGTCAGATGACTCCCACCCCCGAGGGCAACATCATCATCTACGGAGGATACTCCAAACAGGTAGGGGACCCTTTGTGCTCAGTCACACCACTTGGTTGTCCACAGGCTGGTAACTAAACCAGGCATCATCTCATTGTGCCTTTTCTTCATGCATTTCAGCTGATTGAAGGGCTAATCTAGGTTCAAATTCTGTATTTTCCCTGATGTTCTTATCTAATATAAAGCATTGATATCACCGAGGGAGGAATAAGCAACTGGGAGAAATGACATTTTTTTGGCAACTGAAAGCATTCTCAGRTATTTCTTTGTGCTTCAGCACTTGCAGGTTAAAAGCAGCAGTTGCCAGGAGACTTTTATTTCGTGCCATCAGTGGCAGAGGTGAGGGAGCAAACTCAATAAGGCAGAAAAGGCTTTTTTTGTTGCACCAGGCTCACCCAGCTCTGCTCCTTGCTCCGTTAATCCTGGGAATTGATACCAGAGAGCCCTTGAGAGCACATTCCTCATTGAGCAGCCATCCCTGTGTCCGTGCTGGGCAGCAGGAAGGAAGTAAGGAAGTGTTTCATTGAGCAGAAGCTCCTGCAAAAGCTTTTCATGTTGGGATTGCAGGCAGAGGCCCCGGATCCTGCTGCTCCCGTGGAAAGGCGGCGCTTCCAGCTGGGGGAGGAGGACTCCTTGTTCTTCTGAGRGGAAGGAATGAACAAAGCAGGGCAAGGGGAGTGAAGGGAATCAGGCTTTCTGTATATTTAGCAGCATTTGTGCCTCCTCAGGGCTTGTGTTTTGAGCTCTGCCTCGTCAGATTAAACAGCAGTAACTGCACGGAGCCTGTTCCTCCTGAAAGGGCTTTGTGCTGTTCCCTGCCCTGTTCATGGCTCCCAAGGGTGGGATGGAAGCAGGAGCCTGCTCTGCCAGATGTGGGGCTCTCCTGGGAGCAGCTGGGCTCCAGGTGCCCATGGAAATCTAAAAGTCACACGAGTTTGCTGTTGGTTCTGTTCCACTTGTGCTCTGGGGTCGGTGTGGCCTGATAAACATGAAGGACAAGGGATGGCAATGCAAACCTGCCCTCAGCTTTCTGCAGGGTGAGGAGAGGAGCTGAGGGAAGTCCTCTGCAGCTCAGAGAACAGCTTTTCCATCAAAACAGACATTTCTATTAAAAACTGACTGTCTTTATCACTCTGCTTCTCTCTGATGGGCCATTCCTGACAGACTCTGCTTTCGTAGCACAAACTGAGCAAAGCACTGGGCAGAATTCTCTCTGCAGCCTTTTGGAACAGCAAACCTTCAGCCTGCTCCTGAAAATTAAATTGAGCAGGATATGGCCCCTCTAGGAGAGACCCAATTCTGTTAATGTGTGGCTATTTAATTCTCATTGTGCTTTCACTTAGAGCTGATTGTGGAGCTGAGTGGCTGGGTTTGCTTTGAAGTGAAGAAAATGTGTTTGCCTGGGATGCTCTTGGGAAAAGGTAGACATGGAGAAAACAATATTTAATTGGAGCTGGGCAGCTACAGGAGAGGACCCATCCCCTGTCTCCAGTTACAGAGGCAGATATTTCATTTGGGGGGGGGATTGAAGACATTTTGGGGCACACAAAGACATTTTTGGGTGGGAAACCAGGCCAATATCCAAGCAAAGCATTGTTCTCTAAGTGATGTAGAATATTCTAAGAAGAGGCAGGACTAAATCATACATGTGATAGGAAATTTTGAAGGGAAGAGGTAGGGAAATTGTAATAGCTCCTCTTTTTGAATAGGGACACAATTTGGCTGTCACCTTGCTGGAGGAGGGTGGTGACATGGCAGGGAGCTTGGAAGGCACAAACAGAGCTTTGGGCCCTGCTTGGATTTTCTGAACATGCAGTAGTGGAGAGTCTGTTTTCAGTGACTTCTGTCAGTCCAGGCCTGAATTTTCTTTGTTGCACCTGGAGGAGAAAATCTCTCATGGCTGGGAATAGAGGCAGGAAAGRTGAAGGGACTTGTCTGAGGCACTCCAGGACCAGCACTTTGGTCCCCACTCACCTTTGCTGACCAAACCAAGCTGSAAATGGTGAAAAAGGAGCTTTACAAGCCCAAATGTGCCTGCCTTGAGATGCTGGTGTCTGATATTTTGAAAAGCAGGGCTCAGCACWGTGGTGGCTGTTTGTTCCTGTCTCATCAGGAGATGATAAGGAGAATTTCTGTGATCTCCTACAGATGGGGATGTTGTGGATGCTGTCAGCTCTGCCTAGAACAGGCCTCAGAATGCCCACAGGAGCTCAGCCTCGCTCTCCTGCCGATCCTAAAGATGTCCTCAGCCCTTTCCTGTGCTGGGGATGGGGCTTGCTGCAGCGAGCTGCAGTTTGGGCTGTGGGAAGCATCAYGGCCTCTCCATTGCTAGGCAACCCAGGGGCTGGAGCTGCTGCTGCTCCACCTTGCAGGTGCAGCCCACAAGCCAGGGGAGGGCTGGAACTGCACGTGGGCAGGGCTTTGGGATGCCAGAGATGGCTGTGGTGTGGGGATTTTGCTGTTGTTTTGGTTTTTTTTTAGTGGCAGTCATTGCAAAGCTGAAGTGGATTCTTCTGGGAGATGGGGAAGGGTTGAAGTGCCTGCATTGTAAGGCCTGGTTCCCTCTGTAGCTCTGCCTGCTGAATATTTTTTTCTATTTGGATGTTTTTTTACCACTGTTGATCTCATATAGGACTTTTGGAGAATCCTGATTGCACTCCTCAAGCTCTCCCTGCCTCAGTTTCTTGGCTGTCCATGAGCAGAATTCAAATTTCCAGCTGATGCCAGTAAAACTCTCGTATCTCCCCTGTCCCTGCACACCACAGGCCATCYAGAGGGGATATCCAGGCCAGTTTTGTGCTGGAAAACAAACCCCTGGAACTTGAAGKCACAAAAGGGAACAGGAGTGAGTGATGAGTGATTTGCTGGGGCAGGAGCTGTCCAGGCTGGGAGGGGAGGGAGCTCCAGCAGCTGGAAGTGTCTGCCTTGGAGCCAGAGCGAGCTGGGGAGAGCAGGAATGTCTGTGACAGCAAAATCCACCTCCTGCTGCACCTCAGTGGGGTTTGCTGAGTCCAGGGAGCTCTGCCACAGTGCACACTCAAAGTGTTTTCTGCAGGGAGCTTCTCAGGAGGAAACTGCTTCTGTTCAGGAGGAGGAACCTTTGCTCAGGGATGTGTGGGATCCCAAAAGCCAGAGCTGCCTGTCAGTGTGGGACACAGAGCTGTCCCCTGTGCCTCTCCTGTGCTGSCTGGAGCATCCAGGGACAGGATCCCATTGAGCCTTGCCAGCCCCATGGAAAGTGGCCATRTCCCCCTTTGGGAGTGGGGATCTGCTGGCTTTCCCACGAGTTCAACAGGAGTTCTCTGACCTGTCTGTGTCAGGAAAGGCAGGAGTGTGGCTCTCCTGTTTGCTCAGTGCTGCCCATCCTTCCTCTCTTTACAAACTAGTTGCTTTAAATCCCTTGTGCCAATTCATTTCTCCTTCCTGGCTGCCAGAATCCCTGCATCCTGTGGTGTCCACACAGTCCCATATCCCCCCAAAATCCCCACAAATATGTGCTGCAGCCTGGAGAGCCCTTCCTGCTGCCCCAGGCAGGAATTGTGGCTCCTCACAGGGAGTTTCCCTGGTGTGAATCCCATCCTTTGGAGCTGCCTGGTGCTCCAGAACCCCTTCCATGGCCTCCCTCTGCCCAGTCACAATGTTTGTGTTTCTTTTTGAATCTCCTCTGTGATCTGAAGGTGTTTCCATGAACATCCCTGTGTTTCCCTTCCCTGCAGAGGATCAAGAAGGACGTGGATAAAGGCACCCTGCACACGGACATGTTCTTGCTGAAGGTGGAAGGGGCAGCCAAGGAGGAAGGTGAGCTCTGGGAGTGCAAATCCTCTCCTTTTCTTGGAATAACACACCAAAAACCCCAAATCTGGAACTGAATTCCCCTCTCGGTGATAACCTCTGTGCCCCGCTGTTGGCTCGGGAAAAAAAATCCAGGAAAGGAGATTTTATTGGGTTTTTTTTCAGTTTGTGTATGGGAGGGAATGAAAACAACATTTCCAAATTCCTGTTTTTGGGACATTTTGATCAGTGCTTTCCTGTTCCACAACAGATAATCTTTGGGACTGCAGAATTCTCCTGTGCWGGGGTATTCCTGGGTGGATGCCAGGTACCAACCAAAGCTCCTTAACTGGARAAGGGAGAGAAAATCCAACAGGAGACTCCTGGATTGAGATAAGGACAGGAGAGATCACTCAGCTCTTCCCCTGCTCCAGCTTGGGGCCCTTCCATGGCTGATCCATTGGTCATCTTTGACTGGAACAGGAATTCCATCATTTTTCATAGGACAGAGAGAGTATTTTGTCCTTGACTCAGGCAACAGGACAATTTTCTTGAAGCTGAATTTCTAAAACGTTAAAATTGTGATTGATTTCTCCAAACCTGACTGTCTGGAATGGGATTTGGGGAGGAAGCTTGGTCACCAGCACTGTCTGGATCCCAGGCCCTGTTTGAATTATTCCTATTTATAGTTTTATCAGTTGGAATAATGGAAGTTTGGAAGCACAGGGCCCGGCAGTGCTTCCCCCAGCCTGCATTTCAGGGATTTGCTCTGAAGTCAGGGCACAAGGGATTGGAGAAAAGCAGAKGGATACAGCACAAGTGCTGTCCTGCTGCTGAGCCCCTTTTAAAGCCTGGCTGGGGCTCCTTGGGATGAGCTGTGTTAATTTTGGGGGTAAGGCAGTGGTGGAAGTTGGCAGAGAAGTGGAGAGAACTGATGGAAGGTGGCTTTGTCTGCTGCAAACCCCTTTCAAGAGGGGCTCCTTGCCCCAGGAAATACCMTGAAAACACCCTGAGAATGTCCAGGATGGGTCATGGAGTTCCTTGCTGGAACACTGAAAGGCTGGGAATGCACAAACCCCTCAGGGCAGTGCTCTGCTAAGCTCCTGTTTGTTCTCTCCTTTCAGAAAGGTGGGTGTGGAGCAGGCTCAGCCCCTCCGGAGTAAAACCCACCCCCAGGTCTGGCTTCTCTGTGGCTGCTGCCCCCAACAACCGCTGCCTCCTTTTTGGGGGAGTGCACGATGAGGAGGAGGAGGAGAGCATTGAAGGGGACTTCTTCAATGACATTTATTTCTATGACCTGGGGAAGAACCGCTGGTTCCCTGCACAGCTCAAGGTCGGGCTTTAAATACAATAATTCCAGAGTTCACACATCCTTTAGGCCTGGCTTGGTCTCTTTGGGTTTTCACAGTGTCACAGACTGGTTTGGGTGGGAAGGGACCCTAAATCCCATCTCATTCCACCCCTCTATGGGCAGGGACACCTTCCACAAATCCAGATTGCTCCAAGTCCCATCTAACCTGGCCTTGGACACTTCCAGGGATGGAGCACTGAGTTTTCTCTCAGGGTGCACTGAGCAATCCCTCTCCTCCAGAACCAGGCTTCTCCATCATTTTGGAAAGCAAAATGAAGCTTGAAAACATACTTGGGGTGTTTTTTGAGGCGTGTACAGGTCAGACCCATGATTCTGCCTTGAGGTAGCTCAGTAAAAGCTGCTATGAGAAAATTTTGGGATCAAACCCCTCCCCAGTGCTACCAGAAGAGATGAAATATTAACCCTGACTCCAGGAGCCTCAGAACTCAGCTCAGCTCTTTGATTGTGTTTTAGCCACTCTCACAGGGCAAGGGAAGTGCAAACCTGGTTCAGCTTCGTCTCCCCCCTGCCCTTTCGTGGCTTTGTTCTCCAAATGGAGAAGTCAATCCCATAATAACAGGCAAACAGCCACTCAGCTGCTTGCTCTGCCTTCCCAAACCCATTGTTTTCCAGCCCTTTCATACCGTACTCCAAGACCTGGAGTGCTGCCTGGTAATGGGCTGTAATTTAGCACCCAGCAATTGTTGTGATTTCAGGAAATCGTGGGTCACTTTCCCTCGGCCTCTGGGTGTGTTTGTGGCACCTGGAGCAGCAGAGCTGTTCCTCTCTTAACAGAAAAAGCAATTCCACTGCCTGGATTCTCCAGGAGCTTCACTGCTCCTTGTTTGACATTGTAGCAGGAGGCTGCACTGATCACTCGAGACTTCAAATTGGGATGAAAAATAGGAATTATCCCTTCCCTCCCAGCAGCATCGCTGCTGTTTGTGTGAACTGCTCCTAGGAGTGCACAATTCTCACAAAATCTCCTTTTGCTGCTGTTTTTAGGGCCCAAAATCAGAGAAGAGGAAGCGCAGGCGTGGCAGACAGGCTGAGGCTGAGGCTGCTGGGGAGGAGCACACGGAGCTGTCCCCTCCCCAGGGACCCCTGGAGATCATCAAGGAGGTGGTGGCAGAGGATGGCACCGTCATGACCATCAAGCAGATGATCCCTGCAGCTGCAGAGGACAAGGGCAGGTCTGGCTCTGAAGAGGAGGAGGAGGAGGAGGAGGAGGAGGAAGGAGCAGCTCTGGGGCAGCCTGTGGAGCCGTGCCCACGCTCCAATGCCATGGTGGCAGTGAAGCATGGCATCCTCTATGTCTATGGGGGCATGTTCGAGGTGGGAGACCGGCAGGTGACCCTCAGTGACCTGCACTGCATCGACCTGCACAGGATGGATGGCTGGAAGGTGCTGCTGGACATGGACCCCAGTAAGCTCTGCTTTGCATTCAGGGGAAAAAAACAACTCTGGGGCTTCCTCAGGGGTGGTGAGA